TGCAGCTTTGACCTGCTCCACCCCTCTGTGGAGGGTCTCACCGAGCAATAGCCAGGTGCCAGCTGCACCCAGGAATGCTTGTGGGATCTTGCTGTTGTCAATGCCCAGAGACTGCAGCCAGGTGCCAGCCCACCCCAGAAAAAGTTCATGAAACAGTGTAGCAGCAGCGCCTCAGGGATTATGGAAAATCACAACACACATCTGGTACCAGGCTTCACCCCCAATGACCTTGTTCCAGCACCAACGAATGTGGCTGTTCTCTGAGGTCTGCTTGGCCCAGGTGGCCTCACAGCCTCTACCAAATGTTCTCCTAACAGTTCAACTGCTTCTCCCCATGTGGCCCGAGAACCTCCCAGACCCTACTCTGCTCCTGGGGATTCGCCCTTTCCACCAGAGCATCGCCAGGTATTGAGCTGTGGTGTTTCAGACTCTGCATTCCCCCCTGTTTATAGTCTGAATGGAATTTAAATCCTCTCCTTTCTCCCTTTTTACTTCAGTCCCTGTGGCTGTTTCCAATTTTTCACTTTCTCTCCAGCTGCTTTTGGGGAGGGGTGCTTTTCCCATATTCTCCCCCTGCATCTCTGTCCTCTTTCTGCCTGAAAAAGCAGCTCCCTGCCCTACGTGGCTTCTCTGTCCCCAGGTTCACCTCTCCACACTGCGTACCTGCTGAATTTTGTGGTTGGATTCTATATATATTCTATATTGTTTATTTCTGCTCTAATCTGTATTATTTCTCTTCTTCTGCTGGCTTTGGGTTTATTTGCTGCCCTGCTTCTAGCTCCTTTAGATGTGCGGTTAGGTTGTGTATTTGGGATTTTTCTTGTTTCTTGAGATAGGCCTGGATTGAAATGTATTTTCCTCTTTGGACTGCCTTTTCTGCATCCCAAAGAGTGTAGGCTGTCATGTGTTCATTTGCTTCCATATAATTCTTTAATTTCTTCTTTAATTTCCTGTTTGACCCATTTATTCTTTAATAGGATGTTCTTTAAACTCCATGTATTTGGGTACTTTCCAATTTTTTTCTTGTGGTTGATTTCAAGCTTCATAGCGTTGTGATCTGAAAATATGCATGGTATGATCTCAGTCTTTTTATACTTCTTGAGCGCTCTTTTGTGACCCAGTATGTGATCTGTATTGGAGATTGTTTCATGTGCACTTGAGAAGAATGTGTGATCTTCTGCTTTTCTATGAAAAGTTCTGAACATATCAGTTAAATACATGTGGTCCTGTGTATCATTCAGAGCCATTGTTTCCTTATTGATTTTCTGCCTAGATGGTCTGTCCATTGTTGTAAGTGGAGTATTAAAGTCCCCTACAATCATGGTATTATTATCCACACATTTATTTATTTTTGTGATTAATTGATTTATACATTTGAGTGCCTTCATGTTGGGGGCTTAAACATTTACAGTTGTTAGGTCTTCTTGATGGATAGACCCTTTAATTATGATATAATGCCCTTTTCATCTCTTGTTACAGTCTTTGTTTTAAAATATAGTTCGTCTGATATAGATATGGTTACTCTAGCTTTCTTTTGATGTCCAGTAGCACGATAGATGTTTCTCCATTCCCTAACTTTCAATCTGCAGGTGTCCTCACCTCTAAAATGGGTCTCCTGTAGACAGCATATAGATGGATCTTGGTTTTTAATCCATTCTGATACCCTGTGTCTTTTGATTGGGTCATTTAGTCCATTTACATTCAGAGTGATTATTGAAAGATACAGATTTATTGTCATTGTGTTATCAGTAGGTCTGGTGCTTGTGATGATGTCTATGGTCCTTTGTAGTCTTTGCAGCATTCCATTCAAGGAGTCCCTCTTAGGATCTCTTGCATGACTGGTTGAGTGGTCATGAACTCTCAGTTTTTGTTTGTCTGGGAATGTCTTTATCTTTCCTTCTATTCTGAACGACAGCCTTGCTAGATAATGGATTCTTGGCTGCATATTTTTCCTATACAGCACATTGAATATTTCTTGCCTCTCCCTTCTGGCCTGCCATGTTTCATTGGACAGGTCTACTACCCTTATGTCTACCCTTGTATATTAAGGCCCGTTTGTCCCTAGCTGCTTTGAAAATTCTTTTTATCTTTGTATTTTGCCAGTTTCACTATGATATATCATGGTATCGACCTGCTTTTGTTGATTTTGAAGGGAGTTCTCTGTGCCTCTTGGACTTAGATGCCTGTTTCTTCCTTCCCCAGATTAGTGAAGCTCTCAGCTATAATTTGTTCAAATAAACCTTCTGCCCTGGTTTCCAGCTCTTCTTCTTCTGGACCTCATATGATTTTGATATTGTTTCATTTTATGGAATCATTTAGCTCTCTAATTCTCCCCTCATGATCTAGTTATTTCCTTTCCGTCTATTTTTCAGCTTCTTCATTTTCCATAATTTTATCTTCTATTTCACATGTTCTCTCCTCTGCTTCTTCTACCGTCACTGTCTCAGCATCTAGTTTATTTTGCATCTCATTTATAGTATTTCTTAATTCATCATGACTGTTTCTTATGTCTTTGATCTCTGCAGCAATAGATTCTCTGCTGCCATCTATGCTTTTTTCAAGCTCAGCTATTAGTCTTATGACTGTTATTCTATATTTTTCATATAATATATTGTTTATATCTGTTTCCAACAGTTCTCTGACTGTCATTCCTTCCTGGATTTTCTTTTGAGGAGAATTCTTCTGTTTAATCATTTTGGCTATATTCCTGTCTTTTATGTGTTTTAAAAGCTTGTTATGTGTCCTGTACCTGTGAGTACTACTATATTAAAAAAAGGGTCCTACACTATCCAGACATTGGCACTTCAGGAAATGTTTTTGGAATGTGTTGCATGCACTCTGCTGTTGTTGCATTTTGGCTGCTCTATCCCACTGGTCAGTCCTCTGCAAGGCTTCTCCTTGCTTGTCATGGCAAAGTGTTTTGACTTCAACCTGGTGTGCTTTGATTTGTTTCTTGAAGTAACCCTGGGATAAAGGAAAGGTGGGGGGAAGCTGATCCTATATAAAGAGAAAAATCAGGGGCGCCTGAGTTGCTCAGTTGGTTAAGCATCCGACTTCGGCTCAGGTCATGATCTCAAGTCGGTGAGTTCGAGCCCCGCGTCGGGCTCTGTGCTGACAGCTCAGAGCCTGGAGCCTGTTTCGGATTCTGTGTCTCTCTCTCTGCCCCTCCCCCGTTCATGCTCTGTCTCTCTCTGTCTCAAAAATAAATAAACATTAAAAAAGATTTTTAAAAAAAAATAAAGAGAAAAATCAAAGGGAGAAAAGAAGATGAAGCAGAGAATCAAATGAACTATAACGTTTAATCCAGAGAGAGAGAAAGGAAAATAAAGAAGAGAAAAAGTGTGAAAAGATTAAGGTAAAAATGCCTGATTAAGCAAACAAAACAGAAAAAAAAATTATTTATATATATAAAATAAGAATTGACCAAAAAACAAATCAGAATCTATGAGCCTGATCCCAAAAGAAAACAAAAGGGTAGAAAGAAAAAAGAGAACAACAAACAGACAAAGTGACAGACAAACAGACAAAAACAAAAAACAGTTGTCTCTTGGTGGCTGGCACCGGTGGCTGTGCCGGTCTGGAGGAGCGGCCGTCTGGTTGTCTCAATGTCAGTTTTCCTCCAGTAGATAAGCAGTTGCCAGGCACGGAGCGGTGGGTTTGGTGTAAGCAGGTCTTGCCTCCATTGGGGGCTGCTGTGTTGCTCACTGAACCTCCACATGTTGGTGTTGGGGAGAAAAGTGGTGACATCCCATTTTCCTCTCACTGAACTGGGTGTCTTAAAGTATGCTGTTCATGCAGCCCTCACAGAATAGTGCAGGTCAGCCTACCCTGTTCCACAGTCTCCCACACTTTCTAGGCCCTTGGCTGGGATTCAAAACCCAATGTCTTAAGGGGCCTGCACCCTTTGGACCCTGTCCTGGTGTAGTGCCCCTCAGCCCTGCTGATAAAAAGCCTTTGGCTGGCGCCTGCAGGGTCATTTCTCCTTGAAGAGGCAATAAACCCTCTTCCCACAGTGCTCAAGGAAGGGGACTGTTCTCTCCCAGTGTGTCCCTGAGATTGCTACAGTGACCCGGGGCAGCTCCCTCCCCCACAGGCACACACATGGGATCAGCTCAGGTTAGAAGAAAGTCATGTACTTTTGAGACCTCTGAGCTTCAGCTCCTAATGCTGTTTGCAAAATAGAAACTAGCACTCTCTCCGTGTCTCGTTCCCTAGTCATGCTCTGAGAGGTTTCCTCTTGTGCTAACTCAATACAGCAATTCCACAGCCCCTTCGGCTTTTTCTCCCTTTTGTCTCTCCACAGAAGGGGTTCCCTCCTTCCCTGCCTAGGCCATTTTATCTGCCCTAATTCACATACACGCACCTCCATCCTGCCAAGCTTTCCCCCCCCCCACCTGTCGAGATCCTTCTGCCACTCTGCAGATTGATTTCCTGGTATTCCAAGTGATCTGACCTTGATACTGCTGTGTTTTAGGGATGAGGAAATCCTAGTTCCCCTACTTCTCTGCCATCTTAACATCCTTCCCCCAAAATACTAATATTTTGAAATATCAGGGTATATCAGAAATACCCCATTTGTTATGGGTATAAGTTTTTTGTTTCACATAGGCTTTAAACTTCATGTGAGGAATGGGTTTTTATTTTAGTTTTTTTATTACCAATTCCTATCAGTATATTTGCCATATAAAATGTAAATATTGATTAAATTACATGATTTTCTGTGTATTTGATGAACTGTTTTAAATTTTATATCTTGCTTCCCAGACCTTTTATATTTCATTATTGGAGGAAAAAAATGAATGTGGTTGTTGATGAAAAGAAATTATTTGAATATAGTTAGTTTTTTGATATGGTAATTCAACAAGTAATGAATTCTGAAGCAAACATTTTATATTTTGAAATAGACCTAACCTTTTTATTATATAATATACAGTCTTTTAAAAGTAATAAAGTACTTGGGGGTAGGTAAAGAGTTTTAAAACTTTATTTTTAAAAATCAGTTCTTCAGGTGCTGGGAATGTAGCTGACCGTGTTCTGGCTCAGCTCTTAACGGAAATGGATGGTATTGAACAGTTAAAGAACGTGACAATTTTGGCCGCTACTAACCGCCCAGATAGGATAGACAAGGTAAGAAAGAAAGCAGTGTGAGTGCTGTGAAAACAAGAACTGGATCATTTGATTATGTTAGTTTTATTTTTTCTGTCAGATTACTTTGTAATCAGTTTTTAATTTGAGGATACTGAAAATCTTAAACTAAAGGAAATAAAGGGAACGGAGGAAAGCTTTTATGTTTTCATTGCTTATGATTTGATATTAATGAAACTCTTATAACCCCTTGAATTTTCCCTCCATCATTGTTGCATCAAACTTTCAGAGAGAGAATTGAAGTTCTGAAATTCTTTTTTTGTTTGTCATCTGATTTATTTTTGAGAAGTTTTTAACATTTTCCTTCATGTTAAGGTAAATTTCTGGCTTTTTAGTATCAGTTACACTCAAGTTATTATCAACAACTTACTAGAATTCTTGGCCTAGCAGTTGCTTTCAGAGTGATTAGAATAGAAATGACCATGGATTTTATCTCTCTAAGAAATTAGGTATGGCATTAAACTCAGCAAAACTGACTCTTTCAAGCCATTGCTACCACTTATTCTCCCTAGGTCTAGTTTAATAAAGGGAATCCACTAAATTTTAAATGCCTAATTTATACTTAATGTGTAAATTTTTTGTAAGGATTTAAATTGAGTGTAAAAATTTTCTCCTGTAGCATGAACCAATTTTTCTTTTTTTGTTGTTCACATTATTGCTTCATATATATCACCTTATGAGCTCGTCCCTCCCTCCCTGTGCACATATACACAGACTTCCAGTTTTAAAATTGGGAATTAGAAAAAAATGATACTTTTGAAGATATAAAAGGAGCTTTTATGTGGAAAGCAAGTTTTGCTTTCATCCAGTTAGGTATTTTACTATGTAGTAAAGACCTGTTGATCAAAGACAGGTGAGAAAGCTTTGGGCCTTAATAAATTATTTCCTTTCTGATGCAGTATTTTATAAGAAGATAAGTGATTTCTGAGCATTTATAGGATCTGTCTCCCTGCTCAGACATCTCTGATGTCTATGAAATAAAAAAAAGAGATAGGACTATATTTTAGCAAGCATAATAGAAAGTGCTGAAAGAGGGCACCTAGATGGCTCAGTTGGTTGAATGTCCCAACTCCTCGTTTAGGCTTAGGTCATGATCCAGGATCGTGGGGTTGAGCCCCATGTTGGGCTGAGCATGGAACCTGCTGAAGATTTTCTCCCTCCCTCTCCCTCTCCCTCTCCCTCTCCTCTCTCTCTCTCTCTCTCTCTCTCTCTCTCTCTCAAATTAAAGAAAAAAAAAAGGGCTGAAAGAGCCCTTAGAGATTACCTAATCCTACCTTTCGGTTTCACAAATAAAGGTGCTAAATCCAGAAAAAACATCTTCCTTCTGGTAAGAATACATTATATTTTTATGGCATTTTCTCCTGGTTACCCCATGGCTAATGAGCTCTAAAATTTCTTAGGTTTCCTTCTCTACAATGTCTAATCTAATAGTGCCCTTCTTTGGTTTCTTAATAATGTATGTCATCAATGTTAGATACATTTCTCGAAGCAGGACTTTGGGCTTACAATAAACATCTCCGGGTTTGGGCACCTGGGTGGTTCGGTTGTTAAGTATCTGACTTGCTCAGGTCATGATCTCACACCCTTTGTGAGTTCGAGTCCCAAATAGGGTGGGCGCCTTGCTTTGAGTGAACATGTGCCCCACTTTGGGTAAAACACAAGCCCCAGGTGAGCCCCACTTCTCTCTCTCTCTCTGCTCCTCATGGAATTCTCTCTCTCTCCGCCCCTTTCTCTCTCAAATACAGACAAAAAATATCAGATCTCTGGGTTCTTCTAAATCAAGCTGTATAACTCAGCCTGATTGGTGCTTGTTTAGTTTTCTCTTGCTGTATTACAGATTACCTCAAATTTAGCAGCTTTACACAACACCTATTTATTCATATACAAACGTATGTATATTTGTATGTGTACTTATATGTATGCTTGTGTGTTTGTATGTATGTATGTATACATATGTATGCATACATTAGGTATATCACGCACATACCTTGATTAGGTTTTAAATATTAGAAATCCAACTTTTTTTTTAACGTTTTATTTATTTTTGAGAGACAGAGACAGAGCGCGAGTAGGGGAGGGGCAGAGAGAGAGAGAGGGAGACACAGAATCTGAAGCAAGCTCCAGGCTCTGAGCTATCAGCACAGATCCCAATACAGGGATCTAACCCACAAACTGTGAGATCGTGACCTGAGCCAAAGTTGGATGCTTAACCAACTGAGCCACCCAGGCACCCCAGAAATCCAACTTTTTTTTAAGCAACTAATTTTGGATGAGGACATTTGTTTTAAGATGCTGAAAGTATTTGCTAGTAAGATTCAAACTTATTTTCATTAGGGCAGGGGAATCTAAAGGTTTTTAATTTCCTATTTAAATTTTTAAAAATTTGTTTAATTTGTAAAGGATGAAATAATAAAATTATTCATGACAGCAAAACATGAAGTTGGTAAATGAAAAAAGTATTTTTGAGTGGTATAAGAATAGTTTCAAGATCATATGTTGTACTTTTAAGTACAATTTTGAATTTAGTACATTATACCAGGATCTAAGTGTTCTGTATACTGTATTCTGTAATTGTGCAGGAAAAAATACTTCAAATTATCAATGATTTTTGTAAAAAATATTTTAATTCTTTTCTATTTCAGGTAGAATTCCATATTTGTGTGGAATATGGTTTTTTTCATAATTGTACTTTTTGTAATTATACTTTTATTACTACTGAGATGATATGTGCTATATCAAAAGTCATTTTTCTTTCCACATTTTTCTCCTCTGAAGAACTATTTTAGAGCATTATTTGTATGTTATTTAATAGTACTTTATTTAATAGTAGTACTTTAAAAAAAAACTTTTAAGTGCATGTGTGATTTTAACATGGTGTTTGTTCAAAAAGTTCCCTGAAGATGCTAGTAGAAACAGAAACAGTCATAAGAGACAATATAAAAAGAAAGGAAACTTCTTGTTATGAAATAGACAGTTTTCACTACCTGCCTTGTCTGAAGGAAACTGTAATAGGAAGATTTTAGATGAGAAAATAATTAAAGTAAATTTCATGTACTGATGCTAAAAGGTAGATGTTTTATTAGCTTAAAACTGGAATAAAAAATAAAGGACTATCCTAGTGACAAAGACATAATATTTGGTATAACTTTGGCCAAATTTTAATTGAGGTGTTTGGCCTTGTAAATTAGCTAGCATACTTCACAATCCTGTTGCCTATTAACCCACAACTTCTATGTCATGGTGACTTTAAGTTGGTATGTTAAAAGGAGTAGAATTCTTGGACTGCCAGAGGAGTGAAATTGACATCATTGTGTAACCCATATGTTGTGTGTGGTTAGTGTCTTTTATGGACAATATTTTAATTTCATATAGTCTGGGTAAACTAAAACTGGAGTTTTTTGGGGATTCTGGTGATTCAGCAAAGGAAGTAAGACACATAGCTCAAGAATCACATTGTTCTCTCTCTTGCTTTGTCTTATTTACATGTCAAATACATTAGCTGTGATGTAGCACACTGTGCTAAGTAAAGTGATTACTTGTGGTCTCTGGTGGTATCCTGAAGTCTCCATAGACCTTTTATGCCCTACCCTCTCTTCCAGCTGATAAATGAGTGAAGAGAAGTTCTATCCCCTTGTGTCCATTTTGCATAAGAATGGCAGTATGTCAAGGATAGATGAAGATAAATGAGATTGCATAATGTCAGGTAGACACATTGTCTTTAGATGGATGACCATCTGGATTTCCTCAGCATCAAGAGACTTTAGAATAGCAAACAGCTAAATTATTATTGATGCTCAAATAATAAAGAGCCCAAACTGTAGGAGTTTAATATTGTTCTTTGTTAGGTGGTTATTTGTGTGCCCCCTTTAGAAGAATATAATGTCCATCCAGTCCATGACATTTCATGCATTTGTGTTGAATATTAAGAAATGGTCATGTCTTCTTTCCCAGGTGTTAAACAAACCTTAGAATAGTTTAGTTTTATGAATAATTTTGAATTTAGTCATTTGATTACTGTTAGTACTGATGCCTAGTATATAATAAGCCTTCAATAATTATTACTATTGTAAAGTATCATCCCTAGTCTATAAACCCATTTTTCTTATAATAATAAATTTGTAGAACTTTGAAAATTCTGCTCTAAGTCATCTATGGAAAAGATTGTTCAGCTGAGGAAAATTTTGGAAGTTATATAGAGATAACTGAATAACCCAGGGTTCAGAATTATTTTCTAACTTAGTATGTTTAGCTCATGGATGTAATAAACTGGCATTAATTTTCCTTCCAGTTTTTCTGGAAGAGGAAATGTACTTGATGGGTTAAATATTTTTATTATTATATTATTATATTATTATTATATTATAAATAAATATTATTTTTATTATTATAAAAATAATATTTTTATTTCTTGAATATTGCACACTAAAAGTTGGTTTTATGGATATTTTTGTAACATGGAAAAAAGTTAACATGTTTAGAAAAGTCAGCAAATGAGAAGCTAATATATGTGGCTTCCAATTTTCAAGTGAATTGTGTTCCAAAAATACCTTTAGAAGAAACTGTACAAGTATGTTTGTAGATGGCTTTTCTCCCTACTCTTCCTAGTTATGCCATTCTTTTAATATTGCTGTTCTCAGGGAGTGCCTGAATGGCTCAGTTGGTTAAGCATCTGACTTCAGCTCAGGTCATGATCTCAAGGTTCATGAGTTCGAGCCCCACGTTGGGCTCTGTGCTGACAGCTGGGAGCCTAGAACCTGCTTCGGATTCTGTGTCTCCCTCTCTCTCTCTCTGTCCCTCCCCTGCTCATGCTTTCTCTCTCTCTCTCTCTCTCTCTCTCTCTCTCTCTCTTTCAAAAAAAAAAAAAAAAAAAAAATTGCTGTTCTCAGCTAAGTCAGAACTAAAAAGCAAACTTCTTGACCTAATAGACTTTCAAATTTTAAATACCTTAAAATTCTTTACCTTCTTGTATTTTAGGAAATTTT